CTGCCGTGGGTGGTTGTCACATATCTCCTAAGTACACCCGTTCCAATACATGCCCGCCCGTCATGTTTTTCTTTCCATGCATGGCTAGAAACTCACCAAGATGCGCAGACTACTTGGACAGAGTCAACTTGGGCAATGCTCGAACCCTCAACAATGACACCCCAGAAGACAACATAGTTGTGCAGCTCAACCTCACGGGTCAGCGGTACAATGTTGCCGTGGCTCTCTTTTTCGTCCCATACGTCCTGATGGAGTTTCCTTCCAATATCCTGTTAAAATACTTCTCCCCCAGCCGCTGGATATCCCGCATCATGGTCAGCTGGGGCGTCATCACCATTTGCACGGCCGCCGTCACAACCTACGGCGGCCTTCTAGCCGTACGCATGGCCTTGGGTCTTGCTGAGGCTGGATTCTTCCCCGGGATGATGATGTACTTGTGTTTCTGGTACAAGCCCGAGGAGCGGGCAACCCGAATGGCCATATTTGCAACCTCGGTTTCAGTTGCAGGCGCCTTTGGGGGTCTGCTCGCCACGGGGATTTCATTTCTCAACAAAAAGGCTGGACTGTCTGGCTGGCAGTGGCTTTTCATCCTCGAAGGAATCCCGGCTGTAATTGTCGGCGTCATGGTGTGGTTCTACCTCCCTGACTATCCCCAGACATCTTCGTGGTTGACACCTGAAGAACGAGCTTTTGCTGTGAAGCGTCTCGGACCGTATGCGCCGTCCATGGGGGACAAGCATTGGGACAGTGACGTTGCAAAGAAAACCCTGATTGATCCTTGGTTTTGGCTGTTCGCCGCACATTACTTTCTCATGACAAACTCCCTGAATGCATTCGGCTATTTTGCCCCGACGATTGTGGCGGCACTTGGCTACAAGGGCTACGAAGCCCAGCTGTTGACGGTGCCGCCAAACGTAGTGGCCATGGTGATTGTTATTGGTACATGTCTTCACAGTGACAAGACTAAAGAGCGGCCGCGACACATTCTTGGCGCCTTGGGGTTCCTGGCGACGGGGTATTTGCTGCTTGCTGTTGTTTCGCAGCGAGGGGTTCGGTATTTTGCAATTTGTATTATTGCTTGCACAAATGCGGCTGTCCTACCTTTTGTTGCGGTGAGTTCATCTTCTGATTCAGGGGGATACGTCAACCTGTGCGTAGAGAAAGCCAATCCTGCGAGACTCTTGAAAACTAACGGCATGGGCTGACTAGTACCGAACGGCGACGGTGCAAGGCTCAACAGCAACTGCGCTTGCGACTGGCGGAATGATTGCCATCGCCAACTGTGGAGGAATATCGTCACCGTTCCTTTTCCCCAGCAGCGACTCACCGATGTACAGCCGGGGCAATTGGACCATTTTCGCATTTCTCATGGCCGCCGCTCTCTTGACCATATATATGTGGTATAAACTGGGAAGTCATGCTGCATATAGGACCGGTGAAAGAGATGATGAAGGCAACATGGAGGTTTTGGATGCCACGCCGTCTAATGCCAACGACCGTATGAACAAGGCCTTTGGAATTTCCAAGTTGAATGACGTGGATAACTAGGTATCGATTTGTACTTGTTTACCCGACTGGACTGATTCGACGGAGAGGATTGGTTTTTCTTTGCTGGACACGAAGCTCCTATCATTACGCGGTCAAATGTCTATTTAACACACTCATTCTGCATCATGGTAGATTCATCAATGAGAAATAGTACGCATCATATCATACTCACGGAGAAAAGACTACTTGTAGCCAAAGAACGGGTTGCTAATCGAAAGCGTAGTCGGGACCAGGATGCATTTGGCAATGACCAAGTAGGCGCCGGAGTATCACAGTACAAATTACGACTCTCCATTAAAGTTCGGCACTCTATCGACCAAATATTTTATTTTTCCTTTCTGCTATACGTAAATAACGAGTCTGTGTGGAAGATGGGGAGCATGATGGCGTGCGGGAGATGACTTGAGAGAATGGATACCAACTGACAGCGCATGCTTTTTCCGCCCTCTTTTCTAGGAGCAAATGAAGATAATACCCTTCAACATTGTCAGATCTGAGACTACGGCGGACAAGCCGGAACACTTGGCTTTGATGGAGGTGAAAAAAATCTAATGCGAGACGCAAGTGATGTGATGTGTGTTTGGGCAGATGCTGGAACCGCAGGAGACTTTATTCGTTGAGCGACCAGTGGAGGACCCACCGCTCGGGAAAGAGCTTCCCACATCAGAGTTTCGGCCTCAAACCTTCAAACAAAGCTTCTTCGACAGTTTCCACGCAGCAAAGCGAATACCTCTGTTCCAAATAATACCACCTAATCGCCACCATCATCATCTGGGACCAGAGACGAATTCCGGTCCTCGAAGCCAGACGTAGCGCGAACCAGACACTCGCAAAATGCCAAAGGAAAAGGGCTACAACCCCGTGCAGGCTCAGCGGAAAGCTGAAAAGGCCAAGGCAATCAAAAAGGGTATGCCCCACGATTGTTATCAGCATTCAATATTCCATTCTGACCATTCTCTATAGGCAAGGCAGAAGCTCAAGACAGGCGCAACGAAAGATTAGCGCGCAAGAACCCGGACCGAATTCAGAAGCAGATCGATGATTTAAAGGCCATTTCTGCGGGCGGCGGCAAGCTATCACGACACGAAGAACAGTTGTTAGAGGGGCTCGAGAAGGAAGCCAAAGGGGTGAGGAAGGCGAGAGAGACACTAGGCGATAGAGCACCTTCATTTCATCGCGGCGGCCGACGAGATGGGGACTCGGGTGTCTTGGGGAAAAGACGGCGCAACTCTGCAGGCTCGAGCACCGACGAGGACGTGCCAGAGGAGGTGCGCAGGATTCCTATGCCAAGAGACACGCCACCCCCAATTCCAAAGGAAGTCCTAGACCAGTGGTACGCGAGACGGCGAGCACGACGAAACCCAAATGCCGATGCGATGCGTGAAGATATGGCAAAGAAAGCAGAGGCTCCAAAGACGGAAGCACCTCCTGTCGAATCCCAGACTGTGTACGAGGCGAAACCTGTTATGCGAGACCTTCGGCAAGAAGCTGTTTCCGCTTTCGTACCAGCGGCTGTACAGAGGAAGCTGGACAAGGGTCGAGGTCAGGGCGGGCTGACGGAGCCTGAAGAGGCAGATCGATTGGAGAAGGAAGGGAATTCAAAATCAACCAAAGAAGCGGCTGAGGCGGCTGAAGATACACAGCAGAAATATTGGACTGTGACCGTGGAGGGCATCGAAGACAAGGACGAGTAACTGGGACTGCCAGTGCAACGCCTTCTGCAGCGCTGTCTGTTTTATCCACACAGTCAGTAGCATAGACGTCCATGCCTACCAGATAGCCCGGGAGCGGTGATCTGCGGCAGACCCTGCAGTCTGGGCTAACTTTTCATCGTGAGAGGGGCGTTCCTAACAACATTTTGGTGGTTACTGCAAAACCTCATGAGGCTTTGGCACAGAACCACCTGGTTACGAAGCAATTCAAACAGTCCTACATGTCTCAAAGATCGATGACATTACCTTGTGGATATCAACGGTGTCTTCACGCCTTCTTATCGGTAGCAAACAATGACTAACTATTGGATGCCATCTCAGTTGTTGGTTGCTCCGGGCTTGGTCAGAAGATTCGATAGTGGGTCAGAGGCAAAATCCCGCGCACAGCACCGCGCGACCTGATTTTGGACTTTGAAATCTGCTACCTTCTTTTGACTCGGCAATTCGGACTCCTGACGAGGCCCGATCAACAGTGGGGCCTCGCATTGCCTGCCGGACCTTGGTTCCGTATTCCGGGGCATATCACCACCTATTGTTTTATGGTGTCATCCCACGGGAGGTACTACATGCCCGCCTAATCCCTGTGATGGAAATACCAGTTGGACGGAAAATTGTGTACTATACCCGACGGCCAGAGAATACTACACTCCGCAATCGTGGCTGTGATAACGAGTTGGGGGTTGCATTCACCTATTCAGACTGCATAGGCCGATGTGCATGCCAGCATGGAAATGTGGCATAGCTAATGCACCCCCGCGGGCGCAGGACGGTCTCCGGGCTCGATGTGGCTTATTTCATATGGATCATACGGCATAACACGGGAGAGGCAACGCGAAGTCGATTCAGTCTCGATAGTGTTATTCCTCCTCCGCTGCCCCAGACTCCACCGGATCCGGATGATTTGATGCCTCGGGGTGAGACCTTTGAGTGATGGGGACCGTCGTTGAGAACACGAACGAAGCATGTAAAGTGAATTCTAATTTCTGGTCTCTTAGTTTGCAGTTCCAGTTCATCTCGACTTTACAGATCAGCAACACTGTGATTGGGACTCACAACACTAGGGATTAGAAATCAGCAGTTATAAATCTATGTTGCATACCCCGCATCTCAACTTTGTTTGTGCTCGGCAGTTCTTCAACATGTCTGTACGAGGAAATTGACGGTGACAATCAGCAATGGGAACAATAAACATGTGAGCTTCGATGAGTCAAGATGCAAGAAACGGAGCTCGGCTTCGGCCTTGGGTTCAACTCGGTGTGTCGACTAGAAGCTGGAAGCCAGGGATGTGGTCAAATGCGCGTCCACGCCGCCTCCACACTCCGACGACAATTCCCGAAAGGAGTGTGGTAGCCACGGGTGACCCAAACGGGGATGTTAAACTGGACACCATCAAGGCCCCCGACGCCGCAAAAGGCTTTTCAACGGCAGACGAGTGGATTGAATGTCCCCACAATCATGAGTTGATTGCGCTCGGCGCCGACCACCAGCTGGGGTCAGAAAGCTAGATGGGCCGCCTTCCAAGGGTCAGTTGCTAAGAAGAACTTTTTTTCCCACCCTCTTAAATCCATGGCTCCCGCCTGTTGTTATAAGGCGCCATTTCTAAAGCCGCAAATACACCTGGTTTCTTACATCCCACTGTCCTCTTGTTAGTTCATGTTCAAGTAGCAGATATAGTAACAAGGGACGGTCCCCTTCCGAACAGTGAGTCTGCCGTTTACATAACCGTCGAGGGACGCAATTATGGACGTTTACCAGGTAAACTCGCGAGTACTCCATGACGATGGAGAGACCTATGTTGTGGAGAATGGCAACCAAGACGCCATCACCAATAGCAACATGGCCGAGGACCAGGGGGCCAACAACCTAGAAAAGAATACTACGCAAGTTTCGAGCGCATCCTACGAAGAGAGCTTTCCCGAAGGCGGCATGCGAGCGTGGCTCGTGGTCCTGGGTGCGTGGTTTGCCTTGATGTCGGCGATGGGCTTGATGAATACCATTGCTATTTTCCAAGCTTACACACTCAGTCACCAGTTGAAGGGCCAGAGCGAGGGCACTGTCGGCTGGATCTTCTCCCTCTACAACTTTCTTGCCTTTTTCTGCGGTGTCTATATTGGCCCCGTGTTTGACAAGTATGGCCCGCGGTGGTTGGTCATTGCTGGTTGCATCACAACTGTGACTGGGGTTGTGTGCCTGAGTTTCTGCAAAGGTAGGTTGAGGGCCATGTGTTTGGGGACTGAGGAATGCTTCATTGGTGCCGATGCTTTGTTTTGCTATTTCAAAGACTTTGGGATTGACTAACACAAGGGCAACAGAACTGTGGCAATTCATCCTATCTTTCGGAGTCCTATGCGGGGTTGGAACATCGCTACTCTTTACGCCATGCATTGCTGCGGTTGGGCATTGGTTCAAGAGACGAAGAGGTTTCGCTACCGGCATGGCATCTACGGCCGGGGGCATCGGCGGCATCATTTTCCCACTCATGCTCACCTCGCTCTTTGACCAGATTGGCTACGGCTGGGCCACGCGCGCCCTTGCTCTCATTTGTCTCGTCGGCGGCGTCATTGGCATTGTGCTCGTCCGATCTCGTCTTCCTCCCGCACCCAACGCGACGGCGCACCCAGACTTTCGCATCTTCAAGCAGGTCCCCTACACCCTGACTGCAATCGGCATCTTCTTGCTCGAATTTTCACTCTTCATCCCCCTCGCATACATCTCTACGTATGCGCAACACAAGGGCTTCAGCGAGAAGTTTGCCTTCCACCTGTTGCCCATCATGAACGCGGGATCGGTCGTCGGGCGGGCTCTGCCAGGATATTACGCAGACGTCGTGGGGCCATTCAATGTATGTCTGTTCTCGGTGGTTCTCTCGCTGGTTGCGTGCTTGTGTGTGTGGTTGCCGCTGGGACATACCGCCGCTGGCATCATTGTCTTTTCAATCCTGTTTGGCTTCGGCAGCGGGACAAGCATTTCCATTGCGCCCGTGTGTATTGGAAGAATGTGCAAGACTCAGCAATACGGGCGATACTACGCCACGACGTATACGGTTGTGTCGTTTGCATGTCTGATTGGTATCCCTATCGGCGGCAACATTGTAGGTGCCAGTGGTGGTGATTACAAGAATCTAATCATCTTTACGGGTGCAATCTACGTCGGCTCCGCGGTGTGTTTGATGGCAGCCAAGACGACTCATCTCGGTATGAAGAACTGGATGTCTGCCTACTAAGCTTGGATGGACAAGTTGACGGTGGGGAGTTTGGGCGACTCGGAAGCATCGAGTTTGGAGGTAACAACCCGGGTCTCGGGTCTCGGGTCTTTACTCACTTGGTTCGAGTTTTGATGCGTTCATTGGAAGAGTAGAAACACATTTTTTCTTTGGTGTATTTCAGCGGCATTGACGGCGTCTCGGTCCAGCAGATTTTGACAAGGCATGGCTCTGGAGTATCTGATGATTCATGACGGGGTATGGCAGTAGGAACTGGCTAAAAATACCCACAAAATAAAGTAGATTGTGATGACTAGTTATATTTCAATATAAATTATATAATTGTTGTTGGAGAAACTGGTATCTGCGTCAACGCAAGTGGCCCATGATGCCATGCAGCACTGATAACAGCTCAAGGTGCTGAATTGGAAACGCAAGCCATGCCGGACCTGGAGCTGCAAACTGTCATGACAGCGGTGACTTGCCGTAGTGTAGGGCCTTTTGTTGCAACTCGACGTTTTACGGAACTTGTGCGGCTAGATTCTTTGGCGGCTCCCACGTTGTCCTTGCCAGATGTACAGACGGACACGTTCTTATCTCTTTATTACTTGTTCTTCTTCTTCTCACTTTTATACCCGGTACCCGGAGACCACCACCACCATCATCATCATCTACCTCCCGATATGCGCGTCATGCAGCTCGGCCACGGCAGGAATAATCAGCTTCTCAATCTCGGTGTCGGGATCTTCGCGCGGCAGCTCGTCGGCGCGCAGGGGCCGGCCCTCGGCGTCCCCCCATCCGGCGGGCATGGACGAGGGCGGCGGCGGCACGCGCAGCCAGGCGTCGGCGCGGCCGGGGCTGACAAAGACCACCTCCCACTTGCGCGTGGACAGCAGGTTGCCGATGACGAGGTGGTGCTGGTAGCGGTCGAGCGAGTAGCGCGCCTTGCGGACGAGGAGGGCCGGGTCCGTCTCGAGCTTGTACGAGACGATCATGCCCTGGGGCGCCCAGCCGTCGACGAGGTTCTTGAGGAACTTGGGCACGGGGTCGAGGTCGATGACGAGGCGCTTGGAGCGGGGGACGCGCGGCGAGGCGTCGAAGTTGTCAAACTCCTCGTCCGTGTCCTCGGACTTGACTGCGGCCACAACGGCGTCGGTGGACTGGATCTTGTGCTCGGCCATGCGCTCCGGCGGCACGAAAAAGTCGGACACGGCGGCGGCCAGGTACAGCAGGCCCCGGGGCCCCAGGGGCCGCATGAGGCGCGACAGGGCGCGCAGCTCGTGCAGGTAGTCGCCGATGGTGACGAAGGGGATCATGAGCAGCATGTTGGCGTCGCGGGCGCGGCGGTACTTGGCCAGCACGTCGCGCACCTTGGCGGCGTCGTGGCCGGCGCGCCACTCGACCTGGCCCGTCGGCCCGGGGCTCAGGAAGTCGAGGAAGCAGTCCTTGGAGTGGGAGAAGTGGCGCGAGTAGGGGAGCAGGCTGAACTGGCGGTGCAGGAAGACGACGGCGTAGCCGGCCTCGAGGAAGTACTCGGCCGAGGTGGCCCCGCGGGTGCCCGCCGAGAAGTTGTCGATGAAGCGGACCGTCTGCTTCTCGAGGGGCACCGTGGTGCCGCCCGACGTGATGAGCACCACGCGGCGGGAGGCGAGGGCGTGCGTGTTGATGAAGGAGGCGGCGAGGCGCGTGTGTTCCTCGAGGGAGCGCGGCGGCGGGTTGGTGGAGAAGTAGACGTCCTCGTCGGAGGGGGGAGACGACGACGACGACGACGAGGCCATTGTGGAGGGCGACGACGGGGCCGACGATGATGGGGATGGTGGTGGTGAGGGTGACGAGGACGATGAAAAGGCGAGCGACAGCGCGGGCGGCTGTGTGCGCGGGCGCTGGCAGCGAGGGCGCAATTGGAATCGAGATGGGCCTGGCTGCGTGGTCTCGGGCTCTGGTGAGGAGGTTTCGGGAGGATGAGGATGCATTCTGCTGGTGTATTTGCGGTTTTATTTTTTTGCTGTGCTCACAACTACGAAGCAGCTTACATCCCGGGATGCGGATATGGTGGGGTTGTGAAATGGCCCGACGGTTGAACTTGAGTCTCGAGCTGCTGGTGACTGTATGTACGCGGTATACTGTGGTGCGTCGAGGCGTGAGTCTGCAAATGTGCACTAGACGAAAAATGCGCAGTCCTGGGTGAGGAAAAACCCAGCTGTGAATATATACAGATCAGTATATACTGCGCATCTTCCCGTGGCCGCACGCGATGCGCGATGCAAGCTGCCTGCCTTCCCCTCCCGTCTGTCCGGGCCGCCGGAGCCTCCCCCGCCATGGCGGCCGCTATGCCTAGGCACCGCGACGATTCGTGCCGACGGACCAACGATTTGAGCCAATGACCTCACACGGGTCCCATCCGCATGCCAGCCCGCGAGTGACGTCAACTGGCCGTTGCCTCGGCCTGGTGGGTTCCGGCCCCCGGGGGCTCCGGGTCCAGATGCCGTTGATGGCAGCCGATGGGCCGAGAGTCAGCCGGCGTTGTCCCACACTCGCAGCCCTCTGCTTACTTGGTGCATTGCAAGTCGGATTGCACCTCATTCACTCTTCACTAGTCACTTGCACGCCGCCGTTTTTGACTGAACAGATGATTTGTTTGCTATGTACATCAAGCCGTGGCTCTGGACCGGTCGTCCGAGTCTAAATATTTTCCCCGAGAGACATCCATAAACCAACCAACCATCCATCCAATCATTTTAAAACTCTCCAGTTCTCCTCACCCCCATCCTGGAAATTGACTCCCCCAAAGCCAGGCAAAGTCCCCATCTCCCAAGCAGCAGCCAAGCTGCATCGTCTAAACCTCACCGTCAGTACATAAACCCACAAAAGAAAACCCAAGTCACAACACGAACCTTTTTACTGCTGCTCCTGGCGGCAGCATACACCCTCGCAGCACTGGAAGCCAATGTCACAAAAGCTCTGCGTATATGAGAACTTGTAGCCCTCGTCACACTGTCCGCAGTCGTGAATCTTGGAGCCCCAGTTCTTGATCGTGTAGCAGTTGGTCTGGTCCTGGGCAAAGGAGAGCGAGACAAGGGCAGCGAGGCCAACGAGAACAGCGTTGAAATGCATCTTGGTTTTTTTTTAAAAAAAGGAGCAAGTGTATAACTTGGAAGATGGTTTGAAACGGCGTAGATGATTCTTGATTGAAGGCAAGTGTGTCAAGTATCTACCAGCAAAGGGAGAGGAGAGCAGCGAGCTTAAATACATTTTTTTCCATGCCGCCCGTCGCAACGACAAACATGTCATGTTGACCAAATTTTCTTTCCCTTCCTTCCTTCACTTTTCGCTATCCCAGTCTTGGGAGGGAATGCATCCGCAAGGAGCGACATCTACAGCCCAGCCCGCGCGAGGCGTCGCGTCTTTGCCGTGCCGTCTCTTCCTCCTCCTTGGCTGACTCAACATGGCCAGATGGACGGAGAGAGCCGGCGTCCAGATTGCCCCGAGACGGACTGGCTCTGCTCGACGAGCTCGGTCTATCTCGAGCCCGAGCGTGTGTGCAATCGTCGTCGCGGGACGCACGGAGCTGGCGCGCCTTGGCCGGTCGGCTGGTCGGCCTTGGAAAGCACAAGAAAAAGCATGTATGTAAGTCGGGCCCGAAACGGTAACGGGATGCATGGATTCCACCACGACGTGAGAGGCCCTTTGCGACCCTTGCAGTAAGCAATATCAGACTTTTCTTTTTCGCGATTTATTTTTTATTTATTTTTAAAAAAGCCAGTTATACCGGCACCACGATGCCTCGAAACAGACCGAGGTTCCTGCCAAATCCGCCGTCTTGTATTCCATTTGCGACTCGACGCCCCAGCCGACAAATTCAGAAGGAGCCTCGAAAAACTCCGACGGGGCCCCTCCTGCCAAACATCCTCCCCCAAATTCGCCGACGTGCCGAGCCGACATCAATAGTAGTAACAAATTGCGTGTTCCCTTCCAGTCATACATACACGTGGCTTCACGCGGCACACGAGAACGTGAGCCGTGTCTACATGCCCTACTCCGTATTCTCCGGCTATTCAAGGAATCCAGACACAGTTGGCCGAAACGGCCAGGCTGTTAATAGAAAATGGGCCAATTGGTTATGAGCATACGCAGACTGGCAGTCGCTTTGCGCCGGGTCCAGATGTATGTATGTACGACAGCGCCGATTCTCACCTGCAGAGTGGAACAATCTCAGCCCCGTTGGCCGACGAGGCGAATGCGGTGCAACGCGACGGGCGAAAAATTACATAACGCCAACTGCCGAGACGCCCACATCATGTCAGTGCAAGTATATTTTTGGCTCTGCAGGCGACAGGGATACATACTTGACATCATACAACCACCTGCGTACTCCGTAGCGTTGTACTCCGTATATCAACTCTCAACTCGGTGCTTCGTATTTGAGACATTCATCTAAATGCGCGCATGGCTGTAGGTGTCTCTTTTTGTATGTCTCCAGGCGTACTCTACGGGGCATTGTCATATATTACATGAGTCTCGGTGTCTTTGCACAAGACAGAAACCCTCATGTCAAGCTCAGGAGCGACGTGGCCAAACATTCTTTTTAAACTGCATCTGAAACCCACTGTTGTGCAGGCTATCCCAACTACATATCACCGTCACTTTAGAAAAGGGACAAATCTTCCTCAATAGACCGGTGAATTCGTGACACCATCTACATACAGTCTCATCAGCAGCCTCTAGAGTAATACAATAAAATGTCTCAATTATTCCATCCTGCATTGCCCATTCTACCGCTTGTCGTTGGCCGGCGACAACCTCCAAGCCCGGAGAGGCAAGCTCTGCAGGTGCAGCACCTTTGGTTTGATATACCACAAGAACGACACCAGACCAAACGCAACGCACAGCATGTTGACCATGTAGTATCCGTCTCGGCTCATGTCGCATGTGCCGCCGCCATTTTCGCATCTCTCCTTCTCCGCTTGCACCGCGCAAGAAAACGCCTCGGTAATCACGGGCCCCTTCAGTTTGGACGTATC